CCTGACATTGGGTTTATGCTTCAGCACTTTAAATACCTGTATTTCATGCAAGTCACAGTTGGAGATAAACTAATTTGGAGGGAGTTTATCCTGCTGTTGAAGGACTACTACTTCAGTTCCATATACAGGGACCCCAGTGGTCTTGCATAAATATTAAACCATTGATTCCCCATCTTCCTCCCATGAAGGAGTTCTTTAATATTCATGTGCCTTACTGGCATCAAACAATGAACTTATACACAGGTCTTCTACCTTGTTCTATCCCAAAGCAAAATTTAATAGTACTAAAAAAATGTATTATCCATTTAAAGCACAAAAAGAACAGAAACATATAGACTCCTTCCGTGCGATTTGTGGGTGTGCGCGTGCTACAAATGTGAACAATTTTGGGTTTGTTTTTTAATCTAGTCAAGTGGCAAAATCAATGTAGTTGGCTACATTTGCTCATAAAAGGACAGAAATTTGAGGAAAATGTGGAAAGTAAGGTTAGAAAACTTGTATACCTTAACTGGCAAGTTCTAAGGTTACTTGTGATTAATTGAGGAGGTCTTCAAAAGCAGCTCAGCAGATAAGTAATTAAGCTCCTATGAAAGCACTTTCCTAATTGATCCTGCAACAAGTAACATGAAATAAAAAATGCCAGCATAGGGCACAATTCAGACAGTAGATTTCTCTACTGGAAGATTAAATCTTTGGGGTAGGTTTTTCCTGCCAGAAGACAGGGGGATATATTTTCTGGTTTGCCTTAAGAAATCTTTTTATTTTCTTATTTAACTCTCCTACTTGATGACTTTTACAATCCCCAGTTTCTGTAGCCGTAGTATTCTGCAGCTGTTGTGATTTAAGTGAGTCAAGAGATCTGAAGGAGGGATTGTGTGCCTGAAAGAGATCTATCTTTCTCCATCTGCATCACATGATCTAATAAATGATATTACCTCTTTACAAATCTTGCTCCAGTTAATTATTGCTATTCAGTGATGGAAATATAACATATACATTTAATCTCATACTTCGAGTGAGACATACAGAATCTCATACAGCCTGCATGAACGATATATTGAATATATTGAGTGGATGGTTGCACCAAGTGCCATGCTCAAGAGTTTGGTAGTGAGAGTACTACACATGTGTGAATAGGATCTATTTTTGATGCATTACTCCCCACAGTACTTAACTAAAATTCCGGTATGTGAGAGTTAGAAAGCAACAGAACCAGTTAGAATTACATTTTTCTAACTTTTCTGTCTCATTTTTCTCTCTGAATACCTTGAAGGGTGAAATGTTCTCCAAAATTACTCAGATTGATTAACTTCTGAGCTCAGGAAAAAAATATACTTACCTCAAATTTACATCTCATTTTTTCTGGGAAAAAGTGATTACACTTATTCTCAGCCCAGTAGTTTTGATCTCTCTTGCTCCTTTTATTTCACCGTAGTGTTCACCATAGCAGCATCACTACATTGGTGTTTCTTACTTGTATATGCTATTTAGCGCAGTAGTTAGGCACGCAGAACATGGATTCTACTAAACTCTCTCTTTTGACTGTATGATGAATTTCCATTGATTTTTCAGCAGCCGTATTCTACCACTTGCTCTCCTGATCCAAGTCCTATAATGCGCTTTTAAAATTCCGGGTTCAGTTCTTACTGACAATGTCAACTGTTTAATCTCTTTCATTCCAAAATACTGTAGCAACAATCGCACTAACCTTTTGAAGACCCCCTTGTTTTTCATCTTACTACTTTTTTTGTAATGTAATCAGGCATAGGGCAATAAAAGATACATGATCTTTCTTGCTTCATAAGTTTGGAATTGCTCACATGAGACATACTTTACTCTGTGAGTCAGAGACAACCTTTATGTTAAACCAAGCAAAAGTTTGCTGCTTTTATCCTCAAAAGACAGATGAGGATGCCCATCAGACCAATGGCAGAGACTCAATCAGATCCTACATCCTAATCCAGTACAATACCTTTAGGCAGCTCCTTCTTTCTTTTTTTCTGTCCACCTTTAAAAATTCTAAATGACAGATTTTACTTTTGATGTTAGCAGTTTTACTGTAGGAACACTCCATGCTTAAATCAACAAAATCTGTGCTGCTTTTGGCTGGGGTAGAGTTAATTTTCTTCCTAGTAGCTGGTATGGGGCTCTGTTTTGGATTTGTGCTGAAAACAGCGTTGATAATACAGAGATGTTTTCTTTATTGCTGAGGAGTGCTGACACAGAGTCAAGGCCTTTGCTGCTGCTCCCCCCACCCCAGCAGCGAGCAGGCGGGGGGCACCAGGAGCTGGGAGGGGACACGGCCGGGACAGCTGACCCCGACTGCCCACAGGGCTATCCCACACCGTAGGATGTCATGCTCAGCATCTAAAGCTGGGGGAAGAAGAAGGAAAGGGGGGATGTTCGGAGTGATGGCCTTTGTCTTCCCAAGTCACCGTTACGCATGATGGAACCCTGCTCTCCTGAAGATGGCTGAACACCTGCCTGCCGATGGGAAGCCGTGAATGATTCCTTGTTTTGCTTTGCTTGCGTGCATGGCTTCTGCTTTACCTATTAAAGTGTTTTTATCTCAACCCACGAGTTTTCTCACATCTACTCTTCTGATTCTCTGCCCCATCCCACCAGGGGGAGAGAGCGAGCGGCTGGGTGGGGCTTAGCTGCTGGCTGGGGTTAAACCGTGACAACTTTACCCTCTAGAGGATTATGAACCACACTTGCTGATAAACATTGAGATTTAATTTCTGTGCACAATAATGCACTGTTGCTTTACAGTGTGCAGCTGAGATAAAGAGCATGGTCCGACTTCTCAGCAGATACAGTATCATCCTCTTTCTTTTCAGTGTGACTTTAGTTTCCGAACAGGAGAACTGCCAGGTAATCAGCTCAGCTAGAGATTAATGCCTAAATGAAGAAAGCACCCTGGCTGGATATTCAGTGTTAGCTAACAGAAAACTCGGAAAATTCCCTTTATCTACTAATATCCTGCTAGCAAAGCCAATTTTGCATTGGTACCCCATCCGACTGGATTCTGTTGACACAGTATATTTTGGCTCCAGCCAAGTGTTATCACAAGGTACAGAAATGAGATAAGCAAACACAAGAAACCTTTACTAAGAGAAAGGTTTAATGATTTCATTGTTTGAACCCTTTGCACAACCCAGAGTGCCTAGTGGTACATCTGTTGGGAATAAAGGATCTCGCCTTATATGATTTATAGAATGCTAAATTCATTCATTTAGACCTCCAGTTCTTAGAGAAACCCTAGTAGGTAGATAAATTTTAATCTTGAATAGACAAAAGTCTGCAAGTAAATCTTAAACCTTCTACGCAAGTGCAAAGGCATTAGACCCTGATATGAGATATTAAAAAAAAGTTTTGATTCCCTCAGATATGGAATACAGAGAAGAAGCTGATTAATTCTTTCAAGAAATGAACAAGAAGATGTTAAGTCTGCCAGTAGACAGATGTCTATCACTTGGTACTGGAAGGCATCTATTTCAAAATAAAATCTGACCACAATAGCCTTCCTTTACCCACATTGTCAAGTCTTTACAGGACTGATGCTCAAATATGTATTCCCTGTTCAACTCCACAGGTAATGAGGACAATTAGTTCCCTCTCAGGTCTGGAATGTAGCACAGGCTTTCTGCTGACTTAACAGACTTTGGATCAGGAAATTGCTGGGCATGACCTCATTTGATACAAGCAGCAGTTTTACTCTTCAAAGGGGAAGAATATATTGAAGACCAGGACTTCCAGGAAATAATACTCATCTAATTATCTGCTGCAAACCACTGCACACTGTAAAAAGAAAAGACTGACAGAATTTCACCACCAAGATTATGCACAGGAGAGGTAAAATTCACAAGTGGGATGGATACGTCTAACTCTTCTTCCAAATCCTGAGCTCTAACACTGACTAATGGTAGCATGTACAGCTCCTCTATTAATTGCCACTTGGTCCTGTCCTAGGTAGCTGTCAGCTTGGTGCTTCTCCCTTTCCTGAGGTTCGGCAGGACTTCCAAAATAAATGCTCAGTGCCTACTTCACCTATGAGCATGGAAAAAGTTCTCAGCATGTACCTAAACCCCACAGAAAATAAAAAGCCTACCTAAAAACAGTGCACCTGAGATGCTGGTGACTCCAGTGAAATTTCTTGTTTGCTTGACTTGGAGCAGGAATTTAATCCTAGGTTGTTCACTTGCAGGAGGGGACCTTAACCGCTAAGTCTCATTGCTCCCACTGTCCCAACCTTGCTTTGCAGAAGTAATTGCATCTTCACGGGGCCAGAGAAAGAATAGGAGACACTGCTTCCACAAATCACATTTGTGAGCCTTGTAAAGACAGGCAACGGGTGTGATTTCATGGGGAGGTAGGTAGCCCACAACTGGTGGTGCTACAATGCTGAGTAGATCAAGCAGATTTTAACCCAAGGCCTTTTTCCACATGAAAGTCTATACTACTTTTTTTTTTTAAATATATTATTGAGGTTATTATTATTTTCTGTTTCTTCCTTGAAACCACAGGTTCTTACACTATTAGGGAAACAGCCAGTGAAATTAATATTAGCCTCAGCCTCCTAAGGACCAAGCACCTTAGGCTTTAGCAGAAAGTGCTCGAGGTCCTCTAAAGTTGTTCTACAGCTTGCAGGTTCAAGCCATGTAATGGCAATTAGGAATGGGAAGGTAAATCTACTTGGCCTTGTGTTACCAAGCTGGTAGCCTGGAGGGAACCATGCATGACAGAAATTCAGGATTTAAAGTCTGAGAGAGATTTTTAAGTGGCAGAATCCCTTTCCTCTGTGGTAAGTTTATAAGAACTGAAATAGTGTGATGTGTACAGACCATTAAATGAGGGCATGATTTTAGCAAGTAGTCCTCTACAGCTGTAAAATGGGGAGGCAGGGCAGACAACACTCCTTTGCAAGTCTGAGGCCTGGTATACGTTTTCTCAGACCACATACAGATCAGGTGGAGCAACATGCTGAAACAGTTTCTTACCATGGCCAATGGAACAATTCCAACCAGATCCTTCTGGCAGATGAAGATTTCAGACAAGGTTATGTCTGTTGTCCCCTTCCGAGGGTATTCCACCTGCCAGGTGATGGGCTGCGTCCCAGAAAGGCTGCTGAAACTGGCTATTTCAAAGTTCATCTGCACGACCTCATTGAATAAACTGTTACTTCTGAAAAGAGGAAAACAGGGAAAGGGAAGAGCTATTACTTTCACTGAAGAAGGCAAATGAAGTGAATCATATTAGCTACTAGAAAATGCAGCTATTTATATGCAGATATAATACAAGGCCTTTTCCAATCTACAACTTCTTCAGAGCATGCAAACTGGAATTATTCAGAATGGGTCAGCTGCTCTTACTATGTACACTATCTGGAGGGATAAAACCCAAGATATTGTATCTGATGAAAGCAAAATATACTTATTCCATTACATGTTTTTTATGATTTTGCAAGTATGATTCAACCCTATTGCAAGATGGATTTGACCCTGATCAACCAATGTTAACTCCAGTGCAGCTCATGAAGACTGAAGAGCTCAGAATTAGCGCAGCCAAAAAGAAAAGCAAGATTAATTGTATATGTCCACCATCAAAATCACCTAAATCCTTGGCAATGAAATTCAGTGTAACTAAAGTTCATATATGCTGCATGGAAGCCATTAAAAAAATTAACACGATTAAATGGCAAAATGACAAGATTAGTCTAAACTTAGAGGTACGCTCTGGAAATTAAAAACCCGGGCAGCTGAGACCAAATAGAAAGAACAAAGCTATGGCAGGTAAAACACACTATGAAGTCAGGAGGCATAAGATAATTTGAATAACAAATAAAAAAAAAC